TTTTTTTAATTTTTAACAAGCACAGCGTGTTCCAACTTGATGTGACAGCTTAGACTTAGTTATGGCTTAGAGAGGAAACCAGCAGCTACAGCCACAATGGTACGCGTGTGTCGAGAATGGCAGTCGTTTTAGAAGTTGCTTAACGAGAATGTAGTGGAATACATCGCATAAACAATCCATTTCTGTTACATGATGACACATCTATGCTTTTGAAATGATACCGGTGACTACGTTGTTTACAAGGCAAGAGTCGAGAGACGGGTAAGTACGTGACTAAATTCAGCTGCATTTTGTAAGTTCACATTTCAACTTAAGTTACTAGTAAGGTAGTGCCACGCAGTCTTATTACAGTATCATACATGCCAAGCATAGGTTTTTATTACCCTCCAATAGCCAAAGGGGTTTTGATCGGAATTACGCGAAACAATTCCATGTTTGAATAAATTTGGCCCCAGCATTCCATTATTCAATAACTATTTACAATCAGGCTTGTTTACTGGAGGTTTCAGATGGATCACATCGAACGCAGCTCCTATGAGGATTTAGGGAATTTTTATTTATAAAGTTCCCTGTGAAATCTGTGTCACTACGTTCCGAAAGTAAAGATGACCCATGATCTGACCTTTAACTGAGTTCGCTTGCAAACGAGGATACGTTCTTAATTTACCTTGATTTGGAGTCTGGCCCAGTTACAACGCCGAATTTTTCTAGGACACGGAGAAGCTAATCAACTACTTTAGCCAAGTACATCAAAAGATCGATTTTTAACTCTTTCACATTGGTTCGTTCCGAAGATTACCTTTTTCTTGGATTAAAAATTAAAACTAATTTGAATAGGTAACTGGCGTGACCAAGCAACTATCATTATGCATTGTTTGCGGTATGATTTGTCTCCACATTTCTTATTCAATAAACAATTTAAAAAGAAAGCTCCTAACTGGCTCAAGGCCTTTTCTTGTCATTTCCATAATATTAGGTCAATCTTAGTCGGTAGGGCTTGTTTTGTCCTCGTGAAAAGGTTATTCACTTGAAAAACGAGTGTTAAGGGTGGCCCCATATTTTTTTTCAAGGTGAGAATTAAGTACAGTGATCTTCGTATGCTGTTCAATGGTGAAACCAAAAGTTGACCTTTTCATTTGCCAAATATTGTTTATAAATTATTGTAATTCATTGTGAGGTCCAAACAATGGATGCAAGTTCAGAATCTCAACCACTGAACTTTATCATTTGGTTAGAGCCATTTGAAAGACAAATTACCAGATGAAGTAAAAGGAAAGAAAAATAGAAATGTAATGCCACATTAGCCATGATGCGTGGAGGTTATGATTTTGATGGATCTTCATTCATTTATCTCATGCATTATGAAGAATTGAAACAACTCAGAAGGCAGAGATGTTTCTGTACTTTCCATTTCGTATTTATTCGCTCAGGAGAAAAGGCACAGAAATTTTAGCAATCTGTAGTAATTTAACCATATTGCATAACCAAGTTATAAAGGACAAGAGCTTGAATATGGAGCCCAG